TTCTTCTTTATGAAAAATGCCAGAATCTCAGACGTATTAACTTATGTTCTACGTTGCTTTCTTCTTTATGAAAAATGCCAGAATCTCAGACGTATTAACTTATGTTCTACGTTGTCTTCCTCTTTATGAAAAATGCCAGAATCTCAGACGTATTAACTTATGTTCTCCGTTGTCTTCTTCTTTATGAAAAATGCCAGAATCTCAGACGTATTAACTTATGTTCTCCGTTGCCTTCTTCTTTATGAAAAATGCCAGAATCTCAGACGTATTATTTGATTTTGTCATGTTGGCTGTTGTGTTACTGTACGTGTAGATAAATAACATTAAAACGACTACTAAATTAAAAGGACATTAGTAAAAAAATTAACTAATCTTTGCAAGATAGCTTTGACTTACATTTGTGATGACTATTAAAGACCAAACATATGAGTCCGTCTTTCATGTTATATGTTTAATGAAAAGTATTTAAACCATATTTACTAGCGAAAACCAGAACTTAAATTAAATTGTTATTTATAAAAGTAAAATACAAGTGCATATCTCTTGAGAATATACAAAGTATTCGTCAATCTAAAACCAAATATAGAAAAATATAAAAAATTGTAGTAATAAGATGTGTTGATGATCATCGTCTTAAAGATCCGTGAATTTTACTTGCAATGTATGAATGCAATATGTATGTATATATATATTTAACAGACTATGAATAAAACTATCCGCAAAGCAATAATTTTTGTTGTTATTTTAGCATGTCTCTATGATCTAAAAGTTTGTAAGTTTCTGCTCGTTAGCTTCGGATTCTTGGAATGAGAGCGAAAAGCTAAATTTATTACTGCTATTTTGAGATTTGTAAGTTTTATTTTCAAGTCTATTGCAGAAGCTGAAGTAATGGTAGTGGCGAACAACAAAAGTGTGAGAGAGCTGGGTTAGTCAGCAGAGTGACGAAACAGAACATCTCACTGGTCCAGTGGAGTTACACGACTTTACTTCCAGAGCGTTCTCGTCTGAGAGTGAAAGAGAAAACAGACAATATCAGATAAGTATTCTAAGGTCCACTCAATATGTCGTGAAGACGGGACCTTTCATTCTGCTCGTGCAGGACTTCTGAGTTCCGGCGGCATCATTTAAATTATAACTATAAATAAGTGTGTGACTGAGACGAGTGTCTTTAAAAATTGCCTTATACAGCTGTGTAACTGTAGTAAACTTTGCCAAGTAGGTATGTATAGTCGTGAGGGAACTGACTCAAGTAATTGTTAAATAATTGAGTAGACTCATAACTAACGGGTGATCCATAAGTGTTTCTTTATATGCACAATATTTTTTCTGGGTGTCAAGTATAACCATCTACACTTTGTTCAAAGCTTCTTCATCGTGAATACAAGACTTCCAAGTTCTATTCAACAGAAAATATATATATATGGTTCTCGGAGTTATGCGTATATCTTCAGCCTAAAAGTGAAAAGTTTAAATAATTCAGAAATCTTTACTGAAAGTTTCATATCCCTCATTATCCATCTCTGAAACGTTTCGGACTCTATGGTAAATAATTTTCTATATGCATTTTAAATTACTCGATTTAACTTTTTACTCCCTTTTTAGGTGTTCTAATGTTATTTTTCGTTAAGTGATTAAGAGACCGGTCCGTAAAACGTTTCAAAAATGTCAACCTCTCCGTATCCTGCTATTGTTCAACCTCAGTGGCCACCTAGTGGTGATCAAAGGCCCGTATACTATCGACAGCCATCTACTATGTCACGGACTAGTCCCACAGGTCCTGATCCTACACCTCAGATCTGGCTGATAGATCCTTCTGACTTTTATGATTTTGGGGATAAAACTAAAACAGCTGCTGTTACTATAGCTGAACGCCTAAAAGCTTTCTCTAAGAAGTGGTTCACTCATATTTTACTCTTTATTGTTCTCATGATCTACGCTTCTGTGGGAGCTGTCATTTTCCGTTTGATAGAGGGTCCACACGAGAGTCCTGAGATAATTGACCTTCCAGACGTTCGCAGTGTTATGGCAGACATTTTGTGGAATATTTCTAGAATAGATAATATTTCTGAGAATGAATGGCAGATCTCAGCTCATTTGGAGCTCAAAAAATACGAAGGACAAGTGTTTCAGGCTATTTCATCCAGTGCCACTACAATAGACGAAGCGAGGCAGTGGACATTCTTTGGATCCCTGTTCTTCTGCGGGACCGTGTACACCACGATAGGTAAGCCTGATAGCATGAAACCAATCAAGGACTCAAATAACTGGAATTTATCATATTTATAGATTAATTCCAGTAACATTATTTAGCATGTTTTTAATTCAAGTCAGTCATCTGCATGTCCATCACGTAATCTAGAAGGTAAGTGCTGGGTCATTTAACCTGTATTCGTAAGTAAAACATTCGGTAGAAGCGTTTTTACACTCTTACTATTCGTGACATTTCTCTATAATATGAGGTATGGTCACAATGAACAGCTAGGACATTCTGGCACCAGTATTACATGCTTAAGATTAGGACATTGATAAGGTTCTGAGTACTCTTCTGAAATATGCTTTAATGCTTAGAGTCATCTAACGGGAGATGATGAGAAGAACATCCTACATATTCAATGGGATTGATGTCTCTGTTGGGTCTTCTTAAAAGAATGTGTTGAACAGTGTCGCACAGGGATAACATTAGACGGATTTCAGAGCTAATTACATAAAAATATAGTAGCACAAACGTTCATAGAATGTGGAATCTATCAAATCTTAAAATGTCGTTAGGGGGAGTGTGGAACTACTTCCAAATAAGCAGTGCAGTTGCTTGGATAATTGGGCAAAGTAGATCATTATGGATATAACAAGCAGATAGCTAAAAACTGAATATTTTCAGTCGTTGCAATTTTAGAGTAAATGCTTCGAGACTGAATCATATGTTCACAGATTTCATAAAGCTCTCTTGTATGCTAGATTTCTAATGAGGAGCATTCTGCCACATCAATGTGCAAAAAAAACTTGCTTGTAATAGTGCCAAGAACATTTCCAGTGGATCAATTACCTGGAGCCGGATAACAAGCGTATACTCATTGTAAATTATTCTGAAACCAGATCTTATCCCATTTTCAAACTAGAGTGTGATACTTATGGCAGTGGTAGAAATATGATAAGAAATGTTACCATTGATGCCACAAACTTATAACCAATTTGCATCAGCCTCTTGAGATTGGTAGGATTCATTCATCGAATAGGTATTCACATGAGTGAAACTTTTAAATGTCTTCTTTGAAGCCTAACTATAGTTCATGAACAATTCAGAACACCTTAGGCTCTGTGATTCACTACAAAGTAATACCTGAGACAAGACTTCATGACATCAAAGATCGTTAGATCTCTGGTTTCACAACACTAAACTTGACCTTTGACTTTTATAGCTATAATATAACAAATTACAGTTTGTTTGTTTTTCAAGGTTGTTTTGACGAATGTATATTTATTTAAAAGTTAACTACGAAAAACTACAAGTAAAACTTTCAGAGATTTCTTGTGTTCCTTATATTCAAAATGCAGTGGCGTAGGAAGCGGGGGGTATATCCCCTCACTTTTCAGTCTGTCCTAGTGAAAATGCATCAATATTAGGAGAATTACTCACAAGAATACCAGAAGAACGTATAAAACTTAATCCAGAACTCGATAGGTTCCAGGGCCCTAAGGCAAGCCCTGGACCTCGGCCATAATGGGTGCGCCTTTGGCACACATTCCCTCGGTTCGTTAGTCAAATAAACCTTACCCTCCAATTTTAATCTGCCTCCTACACCTCTGAAATGTATGTTTCACTTTTAGCTTTCTCATTATTTCCGTGGATATAAAACCTACAACCAGTCCAGAGCAAAACATTTTTGGGCTTTGAGTTTTCGCATTTAATTACATCTTCATTAGAATAATTTTGCACGATGCCTATTCTTCTTACATTTCCTATACTCGTCTCGACATAGTAGATATTCTCTGGTAGCTAAAGAAGATAATCAAGAAAACAGTAGCAAATAGAGAAACGTTAGTAAATTACTGTAAATATGAACCATGACTCTTTGTGAGATATATTTTAACACAGATGAAACCCAAACAAATAAATGTCACTTCAATTCTTGCTTGACTTAAAAGGTTTACATAACTCAAACTTGAGTTAGTGCTGTATTCAATAATCTTAGCGATTTGTGCAAAACTTTGACAACTGGCAACAGTGAGAGAAGCAATAAGCGGACACCAATATCATCAACCAGATAACATTTATCAATCTTAATATGGATTACCTAAATAGACATCTGTAGGAATTATTATAACCAAAGCAGCAGTGAATAAAATGGCAAGCTATTTCATGAATCAAAACTGTGGACTCTTTTTTTATATATATATAAATTGATAGATTCATAAGACTTATGGCTCATTAAGATTCAACGTTCATTTCTAAAGTATGCATGCTTACAAGAATATATATAGATATATATATGTATGTATGTTTATGTGCATTGTCTTAAAAGTTTCTTTTGTTACAATATCTTTCCTTTACACGCTACATCCAATTGGATCTTTTAAACCTTGCACAACAGTGTACCATGGGATTCATATATAAATTCAGATAGAGTGTTTCCATTATCAAATGGTCGTGTGTAGTACTAATTCATTTAGTTATAAAACGTATATATCTATTACTAAGTTTCCTAGGTAGCACACCATATTTCCAAGGTCTCTGTACCCCAAGTCTCTGTACCCCAAGTCTCTGTACCCCAAGTCTCTGTACCCCAAGTCTCTGTACCCCAAGTTTTTATGCTCTAAAATATGTCCATACAATATTTCATGCTCCCAAAATCTCTCTGTGAAATTATCGTGTATTTCGAAGGCTTCTGTCTATACAATCATTCATACGTTGTCTTCCACAAATTCTTACCTATTCTCGTAGACTCTGTCTGCGTTATGTTTCATATGTGTAACTTTCCTGCAATTTCATATTTAGTGATCTCATAATTCCGATTTCCAGAGATCAGAAAATAATGATTCTGCAGTCTTGTGCTCATTCATTTAACAAACACGAAAACTGACTCAGAAAAATTATCGGTTTGTGTTAAGAAATGATCTATCAGTGAAAATTGTTTAGTTGCTTGTTTTTTGTTTATTTGTTGTTAAGCACAAAGCCACACAATAGACTTTCTATACCAAGGGTATCTAAAACCAATTTCTAGCAGGCATAAGTCCGCAGACTTATCGCTGTGCCACTTGGGTAAAAAAAAAGAGTTTGTTATAGGACATTCGAAAATTAATAATGAGGAATTCCATGATTATTTTTGAAACAAATATTCATTAACATATAAAATATAATTAAGTACTTTCAGTATAATGTCGAAATAAATGTGATATTTCGTAATGAGATAATTTCTAAACTTTTTAAGATGAAATAGTTTAAGCCCAGTTATATATTTTGGTTCTTATTACACTCTCGAAAGTTATTCAAATCTGACTACTGCCAAGAAATACTCTGGAAGTGTTTTCTGTGAGTTATTCTACCATGTTTTCTAGTGGTGTGTGTGGTTGCTACAGTTACATACTGGATTTTTTGTTATTGTTGTTGTTGGAATATAAATATTGTAGCTATGATAATGTGTGCTAGCTGTATTAAAATTCTACTGCATATATGTTCTCTTTATTCGGAGTAATGGACATCAGCCCGAGCTGGAGAAACATCATCGTAGTGAATGAATTACCAGAGATAATTTTTTAATGATAACTAATACAAACAAAGAAACATCATTGATAGTGAATGAATTATCAGAGATAAATTTCTTAATGATAACTAATACAAACAAAGAAACATTATCCATAGTGAATGAATTATCAGAAATAAACTTCTTAATGATAACTAATACAAACAAAGAAACATTATCGATAGTGAATGAATTATCAGAGATAAACTTCTTAATGATAACTAATACAAACAAAGAAACATCATCGATAGTGAATGAATTATCAGAGATAAACTTCTAAATGATAACTAATACAAACAAAGAAACATTATCCATAGTGAATGAATTATCAGAGATAAACTTCATAATGATAACTAATACAAACAAAGAAACATTATCGATAGTGAATGAATTATCAGAGATAAACTTCTTAATGATAACTAATACAAACAAAGAAACATTATCGATAGTGAATGAATTATCAGAGATAAACTTCTAAATGATAACTAATACAAACAAAGAAACATTATCGATAGTGAATGAATTATCAGAGATAAATTTCTTAATGATAACTAATACAAACAAAGAAACATCATCGATAGTGAATGAATTATCAGAGATAAACTTCTTAATGATAACTAATACAAACAAAGAAACATTATCGATAGTGAATGAATTATCAGAGATAAATTTCTTAATGATAACTAATACAAACAAAGAAACATTATCGATAGTGAATGAATTATCAGAGATAAACTTCTAAATGATAACTAATACAAACAAAGAAACATTATCGATAGTGAATGAATTATCAGAGATAAACTTCTTAATGATAACAATTTGCAAAACATAAACACCTTTACATCAAAATATTTACAATTATATTCAAAATGTTTCAAACACACCTTCACCATATAATACTTCCACTTGTTTGTAAAACTCCAATTTCTACCACCTGGTAACAGTTAATTAAGAAACAAAGACCAGTCAAACAATTTTTACAAGAATGGCTAAAAAATTTCTGAGAAAAGATTCATCAGTTTTTTCTACATTCATAAGAACTGATAAAACAAGAGTGTGAACAAGAATGTTAAAATACAGAGGACTTCTAAAATATATATTATCTGAAAAATCGATACTGGGTACTTCTATATACTCAAAACAATAACTTTATTTTAATACTGTATTTTTCGTAGTGTGGAGCTTTCAGTTCTTGGTTGATCAACCACTTAGAAACGCTATCATAACCTTGGAAAATGTTTGAAAGACAAATTCTTCAAAAAAAGTTATTAGTTAATAATTAGACTTATGTGATGGTATAAACTACTAACCATGACAACGGTACATGTTAGGAAGGGGGGATTCTAATTTAAATATTTTGATAGTAGTATCTACTGACCATCTTAGGTTTCGTTATGATGTTCATACAAGTGTGTTGTTAACGTAGACACAGCAATGTTTAATTTGGCTGCAAACAGTGAATAATAATTGTATTTGTGTGACGTTG